CTGTTTTTTTAAAAAAAAAAAAACAGAGCCCAACAAAAGGAAAACCCTACCCCGCAGGGGGGGGGGGGGAGGGGAGAGAAGAAAATGGAGGTCAAAACAGGTAAGAATTGGTGAGAGAACACCTACCTATTTTGAATTCATTTAAGTCTCTGAGACCAGATAGATTGCACCCCAAGGTGCTAAATGTGCTAAACATGAACATGATCGCAGAATTACTGACTGTAATCTTCAAGAACTCTTGGAGTACAGAAAAAGTGCCAAAAGATTGGATAAGAGCTAATGTTGTTCCCATCTTCAAAAAGGGGAAAAAAGTAGATCTAGGAAACTGCAGATCAAACAGTTTGGCATCAGTACCTGGAAAAATCTTAGAAAAGGTTATCAAACAGAGGGTTTGCAAGCACTTAGAAAGAAATAAGGTGCTTGTTAGAAGACAACATGAGTGTTAAAAACAGGTCACGCCAGACAAACCTTATTTGCTTTTTTTGACAAAATGGTTAGATTAGTAGACCAAGGAAATGCTGTATATATAGTGTACTTAGACTTTTGTAAGGTTTTTGACACAGTTGGTGAGTCACCTTCTTAATAAAATGGAACAATATGGAATGGATGGTCCCAATAACAGATGGATTTGCAGTTGTTGACAAATTCAAAATGAATGCTGAGGAAGTGGAAACAGGAGAGTGACAAAGATGGTGAGGGGCTGGGAGGCTAAATACCAATGTTTAATACTAAAGTTATGATATAAATACTCACACCCTTACCTTATACCATTGTGAAACAAGTGGAGCACTTTCATAATTTCTGAAATTATGAAGATCTGGACAAGTCAGCTTCCCATTGTAATGCAATGAAAGTTTCTGCATATAAACTGTTTCTGTATTAAAACACAGTCCAACGCTATTCTCAAGCACAATTAGTTTTTTTTTAGATCTTGTTGAATTACTGCAATAACAAAAGGATATCAGTGCTTCAGTTATCCATTATACAATATACAATTTCACTTCACAACCACAAGAGGGACTGGAAAATTGGTCATTAAGCAGGGCAGTCATTAAGCGAGTAACCACATGACCAGACCCAATTTTATGACCATTTTCATGTGGTCATTAAACAAATCAGGTAGTCATTAAGTGAATCCAGCTTCCCCAATGGACATTTTTTGCCAGAATTCACTTAACAACCACATGATTCAGTTAACCACCACATGATTCACCCAATAACCACAGTGATTCACTTAACGACCATCATAAAAAAGGTAGCAAATCGTGATCACGTGACCACGGTGTGTGGTGTGATGGTTTTCAACAGTCGTGAGAGTACTGGTCATAAAGCACTTTTTCCAAGGCCTTCATAACTTTGAACCATCGTTAAACAAGCTACCTGTATATACATCCACGAAGATAGTGATTAGCATCAAATTATAATTTAATACTTAGGAGGAAATACAGCAACATAAGAGTTATCTTCACTTTTAAAAATATGAGCAGATATTGGACCAAGATACACTACAGCATAAAACAACTTTTTGTACCAATTCAATTTCTTATATTTAATTTGCTAGTTACCGGAATACATGTATTTTTTAGATAAAAATATATATAATTGAATGTATAATAAATATTGCCCAATCCAGATCATATTTAGCCAGAAATAAGATTCAAATCATTCAGTAGAGTTTACTCTCATGTAAGCATGAAAACTATTATAGAGCCATAGCCATTTTTACATTCTACCAAGTCTTGTTTGAATTCAAATGTTGCACAATTAAAGCTAAAAATAAGTATCAATAAAAATGGTCAAAATCTTAATGTTAGATTTTCTTCTCCTTATTGAATTATCTTCAATCACGTTATAAATCCGATCCATTTTCCAAACACTAGAATCAGTGTAAAGTGCTACAGGTAATCCTTGCTTAACGACCATAACTGGGATGGAATTTCCATCACTAAGTGATGCGGTCAAGCGACATTAGCAACCACAATCCCGGCACTCCCAGTTGCTATCATTAACTGAGAATCGCGCATCTTTAAGAGGAGGGAGTCCCAGGTAAGAAGTGCTGGGATGCCGCATGGGGGTGGAGGAGGCCCTGGGAGACCTGGCGCAGGCCGTGCATGAGTTGGGGAGTGCTGCAGTGTGGTGCAAAGCCACAGCCACCCCTGGAAGCCTCAACCACCCCAGCCCAGCCCAGCAGTGCAGTGTAAAGCTGCTGCATCCTGGGAAGCCTCAGCCAACCCAGCCCTGCTTACAATTGCAGCACACTGCAACTCCTCCCACCTGCCTATCTACCCCCCATCTATGCCCTTTGGGTCGCCCTGCACAGCAGCGCTTGGTAGCAGTGCCAGGGCTAGGGCTGAAGTAGAGGCCTGGGGCCTTCACTAGTCTCAGCCAGCTGCCATCATTCCCAGGCCTCTGCTTCAGCCCCAGCGCCACCACTGCCACTGAAAAATGCCACCACAGCCACCCACCCCAGCACCATTCCACAAGGCCCCAGTTGCCCCACCGCCCTGCGCTCCCAGGCTGTGCTGCACCCATCTGACCTTCACTGTTTTCCTCCTGCTGCTGATGAGGAACAGCTGGCCTGACCCTACTTTATGCGAGGCAGCTGCTGGCCATGCCAGCCTTCTTCCCAAGGCTACTCACACCATTCTCCAAGCTGCTTGCACCATTCCTTCTCTAAATTGCACACTCCATTCTCACAATCCTTTGGAAACCTGGTCTTCCCCAGGGCTCATAAGAATGAGTACTCTTTAGAGAAGGAATGGGGTGCAGTGCCCCTGTGGTTGTAAGTATGGGTGGGCTGCCAAGTGGCTGAAATTTGGTCATGTGACCGCAGGGGTGCTGCAACGGCCATAATTTCAGCCACAGGCTGTAAGTCCATTTTCCAGCACCATTGTAATTTTGGTGATGGACGGTCGCTGAACAAATGGTTATTAAATGAGGGCTACATGATGTTGGACTGGGAACAAGTTATGTCCCCACTTGTCCATGGAGTTCATGGGGAACATTAGGCCACTCACAGTTTGTCACTTGGCTCAATCTTATCAGAATTGTTCTTATGATATATATCCTTGATCTCCCATAGAAAATGGGAGATATAAAAGCAATGCATGAATAAATAAACAGACTTACTAAACACATTGATACATTCCAGAATCTTCTAGTTTTATAGGATGAAACCAAAGCAAGTTTCCTTGCTGATGGACCCGGGAGTAGTTATCCGTAGGTATGGGTATATCACTATCATTTCCGTACCAAGTCACAGTATACTTAGATTGGATACGTAGTGGACAAGAGATACTTGCTGGCTGTCCTTCAGGCAAAAAGCTAGGAAGGTTTACACCTGACAAATAAATAAATGTATGTTACTATTCGTACATGTAAATATACATTACTATTGTATAATCACTATTATAGATAATATATTTGACAAATACATTACTATTTGTATATGTAAATATACATTAGTGTTTGTACAATAGTGGTTAGAG